TCTCTTTGGGGTATATTCCCAGTAGTGGAATTGCTGGGTCAAATGGTATTTCTATTTGCAACTTTTTGAGAAAGCGCCATACTGCCTTCCACAGTGGTTGCACCATTTTACAATCCCACCAACAGTGAATAAGGTTTCTCTGCAACCTCATCAAATTTGATGTTTGCTGTACTGTTAAATTTTGCTATTTATACTGGGGTGAGACGAGGAGGAGTAAAAATGTGCAACAATGAAAATCCAACATATCTGTAAACTTTTGTTAAAATCACAATTAAAATAAAAAAAAATTTTAAAAACAACAAAAGGATGATTAGTAAGACATATAAAAGTCCAAAAGTGAGGAGGAGAGGAAGCAGGGGGCTGAGGGGAGAGAATCATGGGGTCACGAAGTTTGGAGGATAGAGGGAGGGAGTGAAGGACTTAGGAAAGATCCAGTAGGGATCTGAAAGGACAGGTGAGCATTAGCCTTATCAATGGTGATTACTCTTTTAAGACACACTGTATGAGAATGATTGTAGAAACACAATGTAAACTAAAAGCAAAACAAAACACAACAAACAAACAAACAAAAAAATCCCTGCCTCTGTCTTCAAAGAGCAAAGATAGGGAACAGAAAACAACCAATCAGATGATAAGGTCAGTTGATATTAATACAAAACTTAAAGATTAAGCAGTAGATATAAAAGTCTTAAAAGTATATCCCATGACTCTGACATTTTCCATCTAAATAGTAATTGTAAAGAGAAAGACTAATGAAAATACCAAAGCTGTTGCTGTCAAGTTGCTTCCACGTCATAACAACTCCACAGGAGAGACTAAATAGTCCTCGGTGAGTCTTCCGAGACCATAAACTTTACGGAAGCAACTGCTGCATCTCTCAGAGAGCAGCTGGATTCAAACCAGATTTTTCATTAGGTGTTTAGTGCTTTAACCACTGTCTTCCCTGGGATCCTATGATAAACCTCAACCACTAAATCATCACTACTGATATTAATGTAAGAAGTCTTAATTGTTTTTATAAGAGGAATCAGGTATGGGAATCAAGGCACAAACATAAACAAAACAACCATCAAAAATTATGCCTGGTCTGAAATCATAAGTCAAAAAGATATTCATGACACACAAAATAAAGTAAGATGAGAAAATAGTACAAGATCTCACATCTATTTCTTTCTTTTCTTCACTCTCCTACCTTTACTTCTCTTTTTGTCTCTCTCACACACACGCGCACAAAATTTATTTTTTACAAAGTAGTAAGCACCTACCCTGATAAAGCTGTCTCAGACTCTTCACTAGGAGAAGAATGACTCAGCGGTGAAGTGGATGGTCGGAAACTATGCTGGTCACCCTCTGAACCATGTCCACCATGTTCAAGAAAGGTATTTTTCAAATCTATCAAAAAGTATATTTTCCCATAAGAATTAACAATAATTTGCTATAATTTCCTGAAAATGATCAATTACTTTCGCACTTACCAGTATCTTCAGGTGAGATCACCAAATGTTTCCCCAAAGTTACAGGCTTCTTACTGTTGTTTAATTCACTAACAGATGCTGTTTGTCTCTGATTTTCACTATTATTTTCTATTTCTTCATATTCTTTTAATAGTGAAAGAGATGTTATTGTGGAGTTCTTTCCTAAAGAGTAACTACTGGATAGTGTGGAAACAGAATGAATTTTTTCACTCTTACCAACATCTGGGAATCGGGTACTACTGGAAACTGTGGTGCTCTCTTTATTGCTTTCATTTGTGGGAACTGGATTTGAGGACTTTATAGTGTTATATGACTTCTGGTTCTCTCTGTTTTCATTATGAAGAGCTGCTGTGTATTTTTCTGCTGCCATTCCCCTTAGATCAGCAGCAACTAAACCCACTGAATAGATGGTAGGTGTGGTATGTTCCTTTGGTAAAGATAAATCCCCATTATTAGACACATCAGTTCTTGAAAAATTTTCCAGTCCAACTTCATTCCTACTTACTTCTGTTTTTTTAAGGTATTTCTCCATGTCAAATGAGTTGGAACCATTACTTTTCTCTAAATCATCAGACACAATGGGAAAGCCTCTTGGTTTATGGTCATCCTTAAAAGTCTTCTTTCTGGTTTTATTTGAAAGTGATTTTATCATAGCAGCAAGCTGAGAAGGTTCTGTACTGACAGCTGCACTTGAAATGGCTAAAGCAATGGTGCTTATTCTAAGTACAGAATCACCACTATCAGAAACTTCATCTGTGCACCTTCCGGGCTGGCTGTTCATTAAGAAGGTGTCCTGGAAACAAGTACATTTACATCAGATCATTTACATCAGTTTTATGGACACATAAATGTTACAGTGCTAAGTAAGATTTAACAGCTATAAGAAATAATGGTATACAAAATAAACACCTTAACTTAAAGGGGAAAAAACCCAGCTTAGCCTTAGAGGGACAATAGATTTAGGGTTGCCAATATTGTTAGCTCTTTGTTGGAAGCAAACAAAAATCCTCTCTAAATCCTTTGGTCTCAAATTAGTTCCATTTTTTTCATGTAAAAGTTCACCATTCAATAAAAAAATAAATCAGACAAAAAACAACATGATCTAAGTCCTTAAGAAATAGATCCAACGAGGATACAGAAAATAGAGTAATCAGACACACAGAATTCCAGAGGCCAAGAAGATCAAATGTTATAGGGGGGAAAAACAGACTAAGAATTTGCTCAAACTTCTGAAAGTCAATAAAAAAATTTAAGAAGGCGCAAGGATCCCCTGGTGTCACTGTGGTTAACTGCTAATTATAGGTTAGTGGTTAGAATCACCAGCTGTTCCTACACATAACAATGAGGCAGTCTGTTTCTGTAAAGATTTACAGCCCTGGCCATCCTCTGGGGCAGTTCTATACTCTCCTACACGGTTGCTAGGAGTCAAAATTTTCTGCTTATACATCTCAAGGAGGAAAAAACAAACTATGCAAAAGCACATCAGAGTAAAATGGATAAAAACCATGAAAAATGTTAAGACTCAGAGAAAGTGAGATCTTTAATAAAAGAATTTTGACAGTCAACATCAAAAAAGAAACAATATGAAAATACTCTAAGTGCTGAAAGATGTTTCTAACAAATTTTATGTCAAGCAAAAATATACTTCAAAACTAAAGGACTTAGAAGAAAAATGATGGATTAGACAAGACAGCAGTCTACATCCTCTTTACCTAAGACATCAAAAATCAAAGACAGATTAGGAGGATAATGTTGAAACTCTTGATTTTAAAAAAAAAAAGAAGAAGTTCAAACACTATCAGAAGAAATAAACAGAAAGAAAACACCAAACAGAATTGTGAGCAGTGGGGGAATGCCATTGTGAATGAGTGAAGTATCAACCCAGTTTACATTCAGAAAGGAGCTCATATTAATTCTGGAAAGCAGTGCTCAAGATCATTAACTATTGTTTGGTGTCGTAGAGTCGAGTACAACTCAGAGCGACCATATGAAAAATAGAACTAACCTCTGTCCATTCCTGTGCCATCCTCATCATCTCTTACAGACCTGAGCCATTGGCTGCAACAACTCTGTCCATCTACCTCATCAAGGATCTTCCTTACTTTTACTGATGTTTGCAAGCACAAGCAACATGTCCAAAGTATGGAAGATGAAGTTTCATCACCCTTTCCTCCAAGGAGCACTTGGAATTCACTTTCTCCAGGGCATATCTGTTTGTTCTTTTGGCAGGCCAAGAGGTATTCAGCACTCTTGTCCAACAACAAAGCTCAAAGGCATCGAATCCTTTCTTTTCATCCTTATTCACTGTGCAGCTCTCATATGCATACCACGTGAATGAACAGACTATGTCTTCAATCAGGTGCACCTTACATCTTCAGACTGATATCAATGCTTCTCAAGTACTTTAGAAAGGCTCATGACAGAAGTTTGGTTTTTGTTTAATTTCTTGACTGCTGTTAACACAGGTGTGGACTGCAGATGTAGTAAGATGAAACTGTTGACAAATTTAGCCTCTCCAAATATCATGATACTACCTACAGGCTCCAATGAATATATGATGTTCATAGATAGGAAGACTCAATATTTTGAAAATGACAATTCTACCAGAAGCAATCTATAGGTTTACGGTAAGTCTAATACAGATACCAATGGCATTCTTGAAGGAGATGGACAAAGCAATTTCCAATTGTATTTGGAAGAGAACGAGATTCCAAATGAGCAAAGACCTACTGAAAAACAAAAGGAAAGTAGGAGGGACTACATTCCCTAATCTAAAAACCTACTACATAGCCATAGCAATCAAAATAAAATGGTACTGGTACAGATAAAGACACATAAGTCAGAATAGACGAGAACTTGACAATCAACAAGATGAACTGACACAGTGACTGTAAAAATGTGCTGAAGTATACTAGAGATGATGAGAATGACACAGGACAAGTACAGTACAGATCTACTGTTTCTGGGGTCATTATGGGCCATGGTTGACTAACAATAACACGTAACAATAACAAACAACTATGGTCATCTGATAGCCATTAAATGGAGAAATAAGATCCTCTTTAACAAACTGGGCTGGCAAAACTGTGTGCTGCTAAGTCAGAACTGGCTCACTGCTGACCCTCCAATAGGATCTCAGAGGCTAAAATCACATAGGAGACTGCTCATCATTCTCCACAGAACTGAGAGTGGATTTGAACCACCTGCTTTTAGATTGGTATTATAACTTCTTACCATTAGGCCCCAAAGTTACCTTTGGGGCTGGAAAAATTGGACATCTATCTGCAAAAAGCTGAAATAAGGTCTGTATCTGACACCAAACAGACAAAAAAACAATTCAAGGAGGATCAGAGACCTAGAAGTCAGAGCAAAAACTCCAAAGATCATCAGAGAAGAAAGCCCTTCTATATGGCATTGCTCAAGTTAAAGAAATGGAAAAATAAATTCAAACCTTGAGTTTCAATACTGAAGTACGCCGTAAGTAAAATCTTGAAATGATACAGGAATGATCAAAAGAAGATGGAAGGAATATGTAGAGTCACTATATCTAAAAGAATTGGCTGACATGAAACCATTTCAGAAAATAGCGCACGACCAAAAACCAATGGTAATGAAGAAGAAATCTAAGCTGCATTGAAGCCCCAGAAAAAGAAGAACTGAGAGGACACTAACTGGCATGATTCAGCAAAAAGATAAAGCCCTTAAGGTGCTCACCATTCTGTAAGCAACATTTGTTACCCTAGGGTAACAAATTTGGTTGACACCTGCCTGGTAAAATGACTTTAAGAGATCCATATTTATTCGCATTACCCAGAAAGCTGATCCAACAGGATGAGTAAATTATTGCACAGTATCATTAAAATTACATGCAAGTAAATGTTCCTCCTGATAATTACCCCAAAATGGCTAGTACAGGACATCAACAGAATTGCCAGGATGTTCAAGCTGGATTTAGAAGTGGCCATGGCACCAGGGATATCACTGATGTCACACAGATCTTCACAGAATCCTAAGAATATTAGAAGAATGTCTATTTGTATTTTATTGCCAATGAAAAGGCTTTTGACTGCATGAATTGTAACACTTTACAGCTAACACTGAGAAGAAAGTGAATAAAAAAAAACTTAACTATTTTCATGTGAAAATTACCTAGATCAAGAAGCTATTGTATGAACAGAGCAAGGAAAACACTGCATGATTTAAAATTGAGAAAGATGTGTATAAGGGCTGTATCCCTTCCGTAAAAAAATAAGGCTCCAGGAATCGATGAAATACCAAATGACTCTTCAACTAATAGATGTGCACTCGAGTGTATGCTGGGAAATTTAGAGGACAAGTGCCTGACTATATGTAAAACAACTATGAGATATCATCTTATCTCAGTCAGAATAGCAAAATTTAACCCAACAGCAAGCAACAAATGCTGGCAAGGTTGTGGAGAAACCACAATCCTTATTCACTGTTGGTGCAACCACTGTGGAAGGCAGTATGGCGCTTTCTCAAAAAGTTACAAATAGCAATGAATGAATGGAAATCCAAAATCTCTGTAAATGTTCATTAAAATTATTTTTAAAAAAAGTAAAAATAAAAAAGTTACAAATAGAGATACCATTTGACCCAGCAATTCCACTACTGGGAATATAACCCAAAGAGACCATAACTGACATCCAAGTAGATATATGCACACCCATGTTTATTGCAGCTTTGCTCAAAATAGCAAGGAGTTGGAAACAACCTAAGTGCCCATCAACAAACAAACGGATATAGAAGTGGTGGTATATTCACACAATGGAATACTAGGCTGCATTGAAAAACAAGGAACTCATGCAATATTATTCAAAATGGGTGACTCTGGAGAACATTATGCTGAGTGAAATATCCCAGTCACAAAAGGACAAATACTGCATGGTGCCACAGTTGTAAAACAGGACTGACCTTGGGGTTGGGGAGAGACTGAGAAAGATGGGTTCATTAATGTATACTGCACTGAAACAGAAGAGGGAGAAAACTATTTAAAAGGGATATGTGATTAGGTATTTTTGTCATGACAGGAGTCTAGAGCGAAGACTACATGGTGGAGTGGACCTGGGGAAGTGTTTGTAAAACAATGAAAGATTTTTTTCTTTTCTTTTCCAAGATGGTAGTGCACTAGGGGGGAGGGCTGGGAGGGGAGAAAAGTACAACAATGAATGAATAGAAATCCAATGTTTCTATAAATTATTACTGAAATAAATAATAAATTTAAAAAAGAGAGAGATCCTATTCGTTTCCATTCCCAAGAAAATTCATACAACAGCATGTGGAAATGCTCAACAGTATTAATATCACACACAAGCAAAATATTGCTAAAGATCATCCAAAAATCAGTAGAATGGTCCACTGACAGGATTGTAGGAAGTTCAAGCTGGGTTCAGAAGAGTCGGCAGCACCAGGGATATAATTGCTGATGTCAGAAGGATCCTGGCTAAAAGCAGAGAATACCAGAAAAACATCTACTTGTGTTTTCTTGACTATGTAAAGGCATTTGACTGTGTGAATTGTGGCTAATATTGAGACTAATGGGAATCCCAGAACACTTAATCGTGCTCATAGGAAATCTATACCTAGATCAAGAGCCACTGTCTGAATGGAGCAATATGGATTAAAATCAGAAAGGATGTTCATCAAGGTTGTATCTCTTCTTTTTCAACCCGTACACTGAGCAAATAATTCACAAAGCTGAATTCCATGAAGAGGAATATGGCATCAGAATTGGAGGAAGACTCATCAACATCCTTTATGTAGATGATGCAACTCTGCTTACAGGAAGTAATGAGGACATGAAAAGCCTGCTTCAAAAGATAAAGGACTACATCTCAATATGGATTATATCTCAACATCAAGAAAACAAAAGTCCTCACCACCACCTGGTCAACATGATGGTAGAAGAACAAAGGATTGAAACTGATAATAATTTCTTCTTGCTTGAATCAACAATCAGCATCCTTGATACCAGCAGTCTGGAAAGATTGCTATTGAGCAAAGTCTGCTGTCAGAGAACACTCAAAACTGCCAAGAGCAATTATGTTGGTTTGAATACTAAGGTACACCTGATTCACGCCAAGGTCTTCTCTATCACTTGCTACGTATCTAAGAGCTGGACAATGAATAAGGATGACAGAAGATTTGATGCATTTGAGTTGTGCTGCTAGAGAAGAGATTGACTATCTCATGGACTTCCAAAAGAATAAGGAGATATGTCTTGGGAAAAGTACAGCCAAAGGAGAGATACCATGATTAAGAAGGTGATTTTCTCAGGGCAAGGGTTATCCACTTCACTCTAGATGTGCTGACTCCTGCGATTTTCCCAAATGAGGAAAACTCAACTGTTTAATTGTAGTAGTAGAAGACTGTAGTCATACTTCCTGCCCCCCAAAAAAGGGTAATAAGAGCACTTCCTGAAGGCAAAGATGGTAAAATTTTATCTTTCATTCTTTGGACATGTAGTTAGGTGAGGCTTTTCTTTGGAAAGGGCCATCATGCTCAGAAAGATGAAAGGTCAGCAAAGGAGAGAAGGCCCCCCCAATGAAATAAAATGACATGGTGCCTTGAGCAACGGCCTCTACTTTCTCAGAGATGATGAAGATGGCACAGGATAGGGGAGGGTTCAAATCTGCTGTTCATAGGGTCTCTGCATCATACTCAACTCAACACCTAGCAACAAGAGGTCACCCGAATTCCCTAATTAACAGAGCAGGATATTACTAACATAAACTCAACTCAAATGAATTGCTGTCGAGTTAGAATCAACTCACATCTGATTCTCCAGAGGTTTCAAAGATTCACACCTGAGAAGAGATTTGCCATCTTCCTCCCTGAGATCTGCTGGTCTATTTTAACAGGCAGAGGGTTTGGGGCTGCCAGCCAACTCCCTGTGGACTATCCTATAAGAGCAACCTTAGGCAGAGTAAAAGAAACCAAAGAAAAATGCACGCCACATGTTTTCTTTTACATAAAGTTCAAAACTAGGAAATCAGAGTAGTAAGAAGCAGAAGGGGGCAAAAAAATGGTTTTGATTTGGAATACAAACAATGTATAAACTGTCATAATCCACTGGGTTGTTAAACAAAAAGTTTTAAAAATTTAAAAGATGCTTAGCACCAAAGAGTTAAATATCATGTATTTTTGACATCTGGTCTTTCCTAGGTCTTATACAAAAACTCTGACAACATAGTTTTAGATTTTGTTCAGGAAAAACTTACCATACCTTCATTTCACCTTTATCAGCAGTTAATGTCACATCACTTTCATCAACTTGTGAACTACTCTCCAATTCTTCAATGGCAAGTGTAAAGGATCCTTCATTGAATTGTGCCTTGGATGACTCAAATAAGCCTCCTTTAAGGAAATAACAACATTCAATTTACAAATATTGGATTCTCTGGTGGCCTAGCGTTAAGAAACTGTGCCACTGTCTCAACTTACAAATGTATACTATCTCTGTGTAATAAAGTACATCAATATTATTAATTACATTGGAAGAAGTTTTTTTTTTTTTTTTGGAAGAAGTTTTTATACTCCAAATCAATCAACCTGACAAAAACTGTTTAAAACTATAATCAGAAGACAAAGGCAGCATTGTTTAATTTGGCTTAATTCTGTAAAGTCTAAAGTCTTAAGAAAGAGTATATGTTTTCATTTTTCCCTTAGAAATACTCACATAAATCCATTTTCTACTTTTCAGCTTTAAATATTTCACAGATACACAGTAAAGTGAGTCTAAAGGTGAGTTCGTTATCTTCATACCAATAGAAAATAACTCCAACACCGCAAGTTTTGTCATGAGCTTTAGCTGGTTCTAGTTCACCAGTGGCTGGCTCTGAGGGTAATAATATGAGCAGTTTCCACCAGATGATCACTTACAGCCTCAGCAATCCAAAGGAGTGATGCTATCAGTGGTCCAAGTTTGAATTTATAAATAAATAGACTTCTGATCTCCATTCTCTCAGGTGACTGGCGGCGCTATGAGAAACAGAGCCTACCTTATACCATCTCCTGACACCAGGCACTATGCTACAAGAAGCAGCTATTAAGAATCATGTGCTGCCAAAGTCTGATTTATCACATTTATACTACACTAGTCTAAATCTCTCAACTCATCGCCAACAAGCTGGAATAGACCCATAGCTATCCCTCGGGAAGGTTTTTGGAGGCTGTAAAGCAAATAAGAGGAATGTGCTCATCTTTCTTCCACAGAGTAGCTAGTGCACTAAAACTGCCTGACTTTGAGTTGGCAGTGCAACTTCTTATCCAAAGTACTGGCCTCGTGTTAAGGAGCTACACTGTCAACCCAACAGCAGTCGGTTCAAATTCACAAGCTATTCCAAAGGAGAAAAGATGGGTAATCTCCTTCTGGAGGATTTACCACCTCTGAAAACCCAACGGAGGAACAGCTATGAGTAGGTCTCAACAGCAATGAAAAGAGTGAGTGAGAGTCTTAATCTCAAAATGTCCATTTACCTAAAATCTACTTGAATAAAAAATATTTGATTCATTAACTCAGTTTATTTAAACAAAGTAACGCAGTAGAACAAATTATTTCATTTATTTTGTGTTTACAAAAGGATGTAATTGGATTTTGGCCAACTTTTCTCCAATTTAGATAAAAAAGGATATAGGAGGTTAGTATATAAATCAAATCCAATATTGAGAAAACTGGAAGTAGAATACAAGCAGCTCCTAGATGACAGATTACGAACAAATACTATTTAAAAATCTGTTTGTAAATCAAATTTCTACTTAAGATGTAACAGAAGGTACTATGCAACATAGCTTCTCACAATTAGGCCACCATTCATATTAATCAAATCTATCTGGTAGTATAGAGTGTACCATTTTAAGCGTAAAAAAACATTAAATACTTTTGCTTTATGTCAGAGAATGCTGCTGAGGAAGCATCAATACAGTTTTTATTTCCACTGCCATCATGTCAGAGTCTCCTAAAGACACCAAACAGCTGCGGAAATATTCATCAGCGGGTTGAGCTTTGAAACGACAAGTCAAAGTCTCCCATTTGGAGCAATGGAGGACATTCACAGACTGTGTGGTAATGACAGATACAAATACCAAGTGCCCCAGAGGCTTTGGGATTGTAACATACTCAACTGGAGTATGTAGGTGGATGCAACCACGAATTCAAGGCCCCATAAGGTGGATGGAAGGCCTGTGAAACCTAAGAGATCTGTCTCAAGAGAAGATTCTCAAAGACCAGGCTATGAAAAATATCTTAGTTTGGAGGATTAAAGACAATATTGAAGAACAAGAGATTACTTTGAACAGTATGGAAAAATTGAAGTGACTGAAATAATGGTTATTAACTGAGACAGTGACAAGAGCAGCTCCGTCAAAGCAAGAAATGGGTAGTGCCTCTTCCAGCCAAAGAGGTCAAAGTGGTTCTGGAAACTGGTGGTGGCCATGGAGATGATTGTGGTGGGAACAGACACTTTGGTGGAGCAGGAAACTTTGGTGGGCAAGGTAGTTTTGGTAGCAGCCATCGTGGTAGAGGATATGAAGGCCATGGGGATGGTTATAATGGAGTTGGTAATGATGGAAGCAACACTGGAGGGGGTGGATACCACAATTATTTTGACAATTACAACAATCAATCTTCAAATTTTGGACCCATGAAGGGAGGAAACTTTGGAGGCTCTAGCCTGAATGGTAATGTGGATTAATATTTTGCCAAACCAAACCAAGGTGGCTCTGGAGGTTAAAGCAGCAGCAGTGGAAGACGGTTTTAGTAACTGCCAGGAAACGAAACTTGGCAGGAGAGGAGAGTCGGAGAAGAGATAGGGAAGATACAGGTTACAACAGATTTGTGAACTCAGCCAAGCACAGTAGTGTGACAGGGCCCAGCTGCTACAAAGAAGACATGTTTTAGACAACACTCATGGCTAGGCAAAATGATTGTGCTTATGTGAAACTTATACTTGGACCAGGAAGCAGTACTCAGAACAGAGTAGGGAATCACTGTATGGTTCAAAATCAGGAAGGGAATGCATCAGGAATGCATACTATCTCCATACCTTTTTAATCTACATGAAGAACAAATCATTCAGGAAGGTGGGCTTTATGAGGAGGAATCAAGATTGGAGGGAGACTCACTAAACGCTTACATTATACAAATGACACAACCTTGCTTACTGAAACTGAGGAGGATCTGAAGTACTTGCTGCAGAATGTCAAGGACTGTAGTCTTCAATATGGAATGTAGCTCAATATGAAGAAGACAAAGATTCTCAGTACAGTGCCAATTGGCAGCACCGTGATGGATGGAGAAGAGATTGAGACTGTTAACAATTATTGCCTACTTAGCTCCACAATCAATACTTTCGGCACCAGCAGTCAGGAAATCAAAAGGCAAATTGTATTACATTTGTAAATCTGCTGTCAGGGACCTTTCCAGAGTACTGAAGATCAACGATGTCAGTTAAGAGACTTAGGTGCACCTGATCCAGTCCATCATCTTCACAATTACATCAGAAAATTGGGTAATGGCTAAGGAGGATAGAAAAATCAATGACTTTGAGTTGTGGTGCTGGCAAAGAGTCTTGAACATACCATGGGCTACCAAGAAAACAAATAGGTCTGTCTTGGAGAGGGTGAAACCAAGTTTCTCCTTGGAGGCAAGGATTTTGAAGCACCCTCTTCTATACTTTGGGCATGTGGCCAGGAGGGCCCAATCTTTGGAGAAGGACCTCATTCTCAGAAGGGTGGAGGGATAGCGCAGGAGAGGAAGACCACAGATGAGATGGACTGATATAGTAATTAGGCCAATGTATAGGAGTCAGTGAGAATGGCTTCAGGACAGGGAAGGCTTCAGAGCTATTGTACATAGGGTCGCTATGAGTCTCCGGCAACTTGACAGAACATTACAACAATAGGGAAAAAAACCTCAAGATTATTTTGGTTTATTTTCTGTGGAAAGTGTACAGGATTCTGAAAACAAGAGTTTTAATGCTTTGGGGCTTTTCTGCACCCAGGCTGTTGATTGTTAAATGATCTGATCATAATGGCATTTTTAAAAACACAAAAACACAGTGACACGTTCAGAGCCCAAGGATGATGGGTGGGGGAAAGGAAAAAAAGAGGAAAAAACCCCCAAACACTTCTGAAGACCTTAAACCATCTTTAAAATAATAAAGCATGTTGTAAAGTACTGTTCATTATTACAATTCATTTTATAAAACTTCATATTTTTAATGTCACAATTTAATAGTAAATCAGTCATTCCTAATCCAGGAATTTCCTGTACACATTTATACTCATTAAAGATATAAACGAGAGAGGGGAAAAAGAGTTTCAGAAAGTCCTTTCATTTGATAAATTACCTACCTGCAAATAAATTATGATTATCCATTTCAATTTTAAAATTGCTTGGTGTATCAGATTTTCTTAACAGAGCAACAGGCTCTCTCTTCTCTGGTGATCTAATGAAATAACCAAATGAAGGCTACAAAATAATTAATAAATGAATTATTTCCTTATTTTTAGATGCTATAAAAAAAGGATCATTTGGTCTTCACATATTATTACTAACCCTAGCTAAAGGACTACAACATTATACAGTTATTCTTTCCACTTAATTAAAGAGTCAAACTACCAAACAAAAGACACATGGGTCAAATCCCTACTGCTCCACAGGAGGATGGGCAATCTCCTCCCAGCAATTTATTGCCTCTGAAAACCCCTGGGAGGTAGTTCCAACCTGACAGTGCATAACAATAACAACAAACTAAAGCTACTTCTTAATCATAAAACCACACACAAGTAGACTTTGTTTTATTGTGCTTCACAGATAATGTGTTGTTTTGAGGTTTTCTGTTTCTTTTTAACAAAATGAGTATTTGTGGCAACCTGACTTGAATCAAGGATTATTGGTACCATTTTTTATTGGTACCATTATTTAGTACCAACAGCACACACTTCATATATCTGTATCAAATTCTGGTACTTCTCACAGTATTTCAAAATCTCATAGTGCTATTGGGCACTTATAGTCTAGAAATAGTGTATATTTACTTTAATATGCACTGGAAAACCAAAACATTCATGTGACTTACTTTGACACTTACTACTGCAATTGTTTGGAACCAATCAAGAATATCTCCTACATACTAAGCATTGCAGTGCTACTACATTTATTCTTACAAACTCTTAAGCAGCTGCATATTATTTTAGAAGTGGAGAAATGAAGGCACAGAAAGAAGAGTTCAACAAGCTATTCAACATCAAAGGACTAGTTAGTTAAAAAGCAGAGCTTAAGATTTTTAAACATTATATTATATTAAATATTATATTATATTGTACTTTTGCTTTAGATACTGCTCTAGTTTAACCATTTTTACCACATCTCAGACTTACTCTTTTCACATTGTTACCACCACCAAGACAACCAAGGGCTTCAGATCGCTGAGCAAAGAATTCTCCTAAAGACAGACACAAATAACTGGGATCATCTTTGTCCAAATCAGATGCGCTAAGAGACCTCCTCAACAGATTTAGATTAAATAAAATTCCCCAGGATGTGTCTCCAGGTGTGACTGAAGTGTTCTGAGTATCTATATTTTCTTCCTAGGAAGAAGAAAAGTTGTTTTAAATATATTTAAAACAAAAACGTCAAACACATTGTCATTTAGTCAATCCATCAGGTTCTGAGGCTGAGGGGAGGAGAATGACCATCTTCCTCCTGCATAACACTTTATAGATTCACATTGTCACGCCATTTTTAAAATTTTCACTACTATGATTTTAAGGAGAGTTTAAAGAAATTCATTCATTAATGCATGGCATACTTTTTGGTTAGCAGCACCCCAAAAAACTCTTCTTCCTACTCTACTAATACAAAAATAGAACTTGAAAATTTAAAATTAAGCTTTAAAAATCATAAAATTCCTATTTAAGTTGTTGTTAAAGATAATAAAATCTAGAACAGAAATTCCATTTCAATATATTTCACTTCTAAAATGCGTCATCTTAATCAAATCCTGATTGTCACTAGTTAAAAAAAAATAGCTTTATGATCACTGTAAACAGGATGATGTCATTTTAAAACTTGGCTAAAACCTACGGAAACATTTATAAAATCATGTGATTTGAATCCATCAACTTCTCTGTGTGAGAAAGATGGGCAATCAACTCCCAAGCATTTTACTACCTCTGAAAACCTGCTGGAGGGATAGCAAGAAGTAGACTCCATCTCAACAGTACACAACAAAGTGAAGACTGAAAGCTAACAAATTGTAATTTTTTTTTATTTGCAATTTTGAGTGAAATTTTACAAATCCTACTGGTTTCTCATTAAATTATTCATATACTTTTTCATTATAAACAGAATTGATACTGTAATTAAAGTATCTAATCAAATGCTTATTATGTATTGTCTTTCTCAACTTCCCTACTCATAAGTTTTGGTTCCTTCTACTTCCCTTTTCATCCCTGTTAATATTCCAAGATTGAGTCTCTAAGTGTAAGCCTTACTTTCACTCTTTATTAATGTCCTGATGACATAACTGTCCTTTCGTGAGTGACTTACATCATTCAGCAGTATGTGCTCTAGATTTATGCAAGCTGTACAGTATTTGAGAAATTCTTTTTTTAGTAGTTCTCAAATTTTTTTCAATAAGGTACAATACTCCATGGTGTGAATGTTTCTCTAGTCATTTTCGCATTGTTAGACACGGGTTGTCTGTAATCTTTGCAATGGTAAATAACGCTACAACAAACATGGTTGTGAATATGTCCCTTGGTGTTGCAGTGCTTACTTGTTTGGTCATATACCTAGTATGAAATTGCTTGATCAACTTATATTTCTATTCCCGAGAAGTGCCAAACTGGTTTAGTAGTTGCATCCTTTTACAGTCATATAAATAACATATGCAAGTTCCAAATTCTTGCCAGCATTTGTTTGATATTTTATGAATACTGCTATGGGTGAGAGATGTTTATCACTGTAAATTTTATTTTAGTTAGCTCCAGAATATCTGAGATTACAAAGATGATGCAGAACAGAACAAGGTTGAGATCTGTTGTTCATAGGGTTGCTATGAGTTGTCGATTTGATGGTACCGATCACAACCACCACCAGTTTACAGGGGAGGTTTCACTGCTTAGTCAACACAGATGCACTGCTCAGCAAAAGGTCATGCCTCTTCTGGTAGTTCAAACACAGAAGTGGCTTCATGGAAGAACGATGGGCAGTATCTTCCCTACAATTTATAGCCTCCAAAAACCTACTAGAGCATTAACTATGAGTCATTTCTGACTCAAAAGCAATGACAGAGTAGATTCTTGACTATTAACCTTAATTATTTTTGCCTATGATTTTCGGCAATCTAGACATCTTATTTAGCCAAGTGTCTACATATATCCTTGGCTCCGCTACTTTTTCTGTAACAGGGACGCCTGTCTTTTTTCTTGCTGAGGTGTTCAGCTCTAGTGTTACTCTAGGGTTCTGTACAATGATCTATTCATAGCAAATACCTTTTATAAGAAACATAAATGCAGGCTATACACATGGATTTCACCGGATGCACAGATCAATTACATCTGTGGAAGGAATCATTGGAGAAATTAAATATCAACAGTGAAAACTAAGCCAGATGCTGACTGTTAAACAGACCATCTGCACACCCATGTTCATTGCAGCTTTGTTCACAATAGCAAGGAGTTGGAAACAACCTAAGTGCCCATCAACAAACGAATGGCTAGAGAAGCTGTGGTAT